ATCAGGTTTTAGTGTTAGACGTGTTTAACTCTTGGCTACTGGAACCTGAAACGGAGTTTTTTGTAATCTAACGTTCCTGTATTCATGAGTTACTGTCAACCATAACGTGACATAGCTTCCAATTGAATAAGAGGATAATTAAGTACGGCGAATTCTAAAGGATTGGGAAGGGAGCGGTCGTGACAAAATCCGAAGTTTCAGGTACTGGCAAGTAACTTCTCACCGTTTGTATGCAATATTGCTTCATCAGTATGTTGCATTTTTCATCGTCAACAAATTACACCAATTTGTATATTACCTTCGCTTCGGGATGCCTGTAACTCTTTATTTTAAGCGGCCCCCGTAGTCTAGGGGCAACGTTCCCACCTCATGACTCAAGGTACGCGGGTTCAAACCCGGCGGAGGTCGTGGAATTTTTAAGGGCGGAAAAATTCAGGGAACAAGTCCTCCGGGAGGGACTTTAAGCCGTGGGTCCCTTGTCGTAGCTTTACGGCACGTAAAAGCACCTCATGTCTCAAGGAGGTCACCGAGCCAAATTATAGGACATTTCCCGCCCAACTGTAGTTTCTAACGCCTCTGGTAGATGGGTAAGCATCAGGTACCGCTGAGCCAATAGAGGCCGAACTCGCTGGCTGAGTCGGGGCTGATGGCAGGCACCAGTACCGGTAGGGTATAGAGACTGGGNCTCATAAGACTGGCTTAGCATGTGTGCTGAAAGCCAACATAGACAGCCGTTGCTAGGGAACGACAGTGCAGATACTACCGTTGCTAAGCAGTGGCCATAAAGGTAAGCACACAACAATATAAGAGCTGTTTGAAGCGGTGTTCTCTGTGCAGTTTATGCCGAAGCTATATAACGAGGTCCAGCTATCATTACCTCTCAGTCGAGAGAGAGAGTCTGCAGGCAGTGAGTCAGTTGAGCGCTGCAGAAGCTGGTTGCTGAGGCCGGTGACAGTTCGGGATATCGGAGGGAAGGGAACATCCACCGTTGGAAGCCGCTACCAAGCAGCGCAGTGAAAACCTTGACTCGGAACACTAGTCTGTGTGTGACAGTGATCTGTAGATTGTAGTCGCGGGTTGTGAGTGAAAGTGTCCAATAAAACCGATTACCAACCGAAACCCCGTCTATAGTGACAATATGAAGTACATGGACGTGTAGAACGCACGTAGAAATAAGAAATACGCGTATCATTTTTTTAGTAAAAGTACTGCTCCGTCATTTGGAGATCCTGGATTCAGTTATGGACCAGAATATCGGTTATCCTGATTGAGGTTTTCCTCCCGTCACTCACAGGAGATTCTGCAACTGAGGCTTAGGACATGGCCTATGCTTTAAAACGTATCATTCACATTCATGAACCCTAGAATCTGCGCAGTTGATGAAGCGTCATGAAATCAACTGTGGAGATACTATTTTGGTTGCAAACCTCACGAGAGAGGAGTTCGGAGATTGAGGAATAAGTACAGGTGGATAAAAATGTTCTCAGTTCTAATGTTTTGTCGTATGGAGGTCACGGAACATTTGTGTTTGGAATCGCTTCAGAATGATTTCGATGCTACGGAGGCACTCTCCCCGCTCAGTTTTCCAGCTATGAAACCTCAGCTGATGGTAACGATACGGTACTGTAGGCAAATTGAAGTACACGTTGGTACGCAGTCGCCTTCCGTCAATTGCAAAATGGAGTCATGTCAGCCGCATGTAATGGAGACGTACGCGTGACAAACCCACGAAAGAATTGGGGAATCTAATTAGAGAACGATAAGGTCATTGCTTAATCATGAAGTGAATTAATAAATTACGCCGTGGAGAAAATTCAATTCCGGTCGGTGTGTTTCATTTTCTGCAAGTTTTTCTTTAAAAGCTACAGATTTCGCCTTGATCATTTGCCTGGCTGTACACAATCTACTTTGTTTCAATCAAGATAACTAGCTAAACTCGTCTTGTGTTCTCCACGTTTTGAAATCGATTCCTGTTTCTGTTTATTTTGTGACGAGATTATCCGAGCATTCTTACAGCCTTAACTTCAAATTAAGCTGCCACTGCCCTCCTGATCACCGTAGCACGTCTAGTGGGAAATCATAGGCTTTCGCCACCTTGTGAAAGGCTGACCCCTGCCCAAGGAGTACCACCAACTCTTTTAGGAATAAGAAACTGAAGTGAAACAAAGCGTCTCACGGACGTCCTATGCTCGAATGTGGGAGCAATAGTACACAGATAATGACTTCATTTTTTATATAAAAATTGACGATAGTTGGTTGAGCCACTATGCTACAAGCCGGAAGGTTGCGGGTTCAAGACCCGATGGGGCCACTGGGTTTTGCAATTGACATAATTTTTCTAGCCTCACTATGGCCCTAGGTTCCACTCAGCCTCTAACAGGAATGAGTACCAGGAATGTTACCGGGTGGTAAAGGGCGGCTGGCGAGTAAGGCTGACAACCTTACTTCCATCTATGAGCCGATTGTCTAGAAACTGTGGGATCCTCAACGTCTCACAGTCCTATGGGCCTCCATGGCCTGTTACAGGGATAGCTTTACCTTACCTTAAAGCCTGGAATTCCACACTCAGTTTTTAGTCTAAGCAGATTTAAGGCTTTATTTAAAGAAGACAGGCGGAGGAACTTTCTCATCTCCAAGCGACGCCATTAAGTGGGCCCCTGTGTGAAAGAACGCATATGCGTGTACTGTTTACTCGTGCAATATCGGACGATAAAATGTTGATCGCATTTAAAAGAAACCACCAGAACACCGCACTTCTATCGATGTCTCGAACGGCATTTTATCGGTTCGGCGACCCCCGTGGAAGGCATCATTGAAAAGAAAAAGTGAAGCTATCCCTGTAACAGGCCTTGGAGGCCCATAGAGTTGTGAGACGTCGAGACTCTCACATTTTCTGAACAATCGGTTCACAGTTGGCGGTGAGGTTGTCGGCCTTACGTGCCGGTCGCTCTTTACCCTCAGGAATATTCCCAGTACTCGTTTCTGTTAGAGGCTGATTCGATCCCAGGGCCATAGTGCGGTTGGAAGGATTGGGTAAATTGAAAAATCCAATTAGGCGTCATTTTAAAGGATAGTACATCAGGTCCGACATCGACGTCTTCTACCGACAGTATCGGAGCGTGTGAAAGCAGCCCAACTATTTTGTATAGTAGTATTATTTTTTTATTGCTAGTGGAGTGGGACTAAGTCCCTTGTACTGCGGCCACTTCTAGCCTATTGTACCAGCCTCTGATGATAGGTGAGGGTGATTGTGGAGCAATTGGTGGAATGAAGATTGGCAAGGGAAACCGAAGTACTCGGAGAAAACCTGCCCTAGCACCACTTTGTCCACCACAAAGACACAAAGACACCCACTAGACCAGACCCCGGGATCAAACCCGGGCCGCCGCGGTGGGAAGCCAGCGACTAACCGCTTGAGCTATGGCATGGCCTATATAGTAGTAACGCAACTGAGTCTTGTTTAGGAGATACTCTGTTTGAATATCGCTTATCTTACCGACTGTTCTGCCTATAAAGGTTCTCGTAGTTCTCCCCACTCTGCGTGAATTGCTTTATAACGTCTGCAGTTTAATCAGCTCAGTTAAGTAACCGAAGCTTTAATGAATACTGGTGTAGGTTCGTAATTGTTCTGAAAGCAGCCATATTTTTGTGATGAACATACGACTGGAAACATTCACTGTGGGATCACATAATTATATTTAATAATCCTTGAAGATTGAAACATAATTTTAAAAATAGTATTTCGAATATTTTGTTCGCAGGTTATTTCACAATGTTCTCTCAACTGTTTAGATTTTTTAACGTCGGGTGTGAGAAGTTTATTATGTGCAATGCACTTAAAACAACGAGTCGGCCCAATACGAAACTCTGGATGATACCGGGATACTGGGTTCTCAGGATCCCCAACTGCGCTGTTTGCACTGCATACATGTTGCCACGTGACTAGACACGGGCTTTGGATTGGTAACTGGATTTATTGAACCGTTAAAACTACAGATAATTATAGTGCTCTTGCTGTTTGACTGACTCTACTTTTCACTACAACACAGGTTAAGTCTTCTCAGTCAGCTGTGTCTCACCATTTGTTGCCTGGTAACGGATCCCAATGATGTCTTCTGATTCCGTTGTTGCCGGCTGGCTACCATCTCACAAATAACCACACAACTCATGGTTGCGGTTCTCTCACGTTCTTGACTGATCTAGTCAGAGTTAGTGTTACTTTACGACTGACGGTTTGCCGCCAATCAGTTCATCATGGCGCCGATCCTATTGAAGCTCATGACCAGAGTTCTTTGATAGTTGAACCTTAACGGTCATACTCCTTGTGAAACATCCTCTCTGATGAGTCAGAGTCACTTTAGGGCTGGCGGTTTATCGCCAGTCGGTTCGTCTTGGCCCCAAGTCCCTTGAGGATCACGACCAGAGTTTTTTTTTTGCAACTGATATGCTGTCATGGTCCTTATGTAATAACCTTTCTGGCAAGAGGGTGTGTTGTCTCTGATGAATATGCTTGATATTCGTTGCCGCGGAAACCAGCTGCCACGTGTAGTTTACCGGCCGTTGCGTAGCAACAGATGACTTCTCTTGTTAAATTATACCATTATAATGTAACAATATTAATATTTAATTTATTGAAACTGACCACATATACACAAACTGAATCTGCAGTCACGAAGACATTGTCTAGACCTTGATTTTCAACCGTTGTGAGAGTGCGGCCCAGTAATTATTTTTATAAGACGAGGGCCCGGTGTTTGAGAAACACTGGTCTAGACTGCACCTAATGTGCTTATTAGTAATCGAGTTAGTCTCCCATTGTAAGTAATATTTGTGTGTCGTGTAGCTGATTTTAATAAATTATAATATGAAATAATATATATTGTGATAATTGATCTTAACATGTTTGATGACCACGTAAGAGTGTGAAAGCCTATGCAGGCTACAGCGCATGCGTAGAAGTATAACAATACTGATGTTCATCCATTTCTCTTTTTTTACAGAGATCTCCAAGGCAACAACCTGACTCTTATCTTCGAGAGTGACTTCGAGGACATGAGGAACCTCCGGATACTGTAAGTACTCCCTCTGCTTCCCGACCCCAACCAGAATCCTTCACAAGAAATTTCACGAAATTTCTAACAGAATTCTCTAAGGAAGTGATAAGAAACTCCTAAGTGTAGATCAGGGGTGAGCAAAATATTACTCGTATAAAGCTTTATTGTGGCCCGGAGCGATTTTCTTATATGCCTGTAAAATTTTTTAGTTTTCTCACATACCTTGAGATATTATGAGAGGGACTGGAATCGCCAAGGAATAGAGGGAAAAAAAGAGTAAAAATTTGTGTAATCACTAAAAATCAAGCTTTTGAATTTCAGGTTCAGTGGTCCTGTTTAATGATTTAATGTATCTGAAACTGGGTATGAGAAAGTTGAATGGTTCTCAAGAATTTTTCGGTTTAATGTCCCTTGGGAGAACCAATTATAATTTTTTTTTGTCGTTTCCCAATCAATTACTAATAGTTTTATTTCCACATATTTTGGTTTATCTATAAGTTACGTATACTCATTGCGATTATTAATAAATAAATAATAAATAAACTTTTGTCCTATGTCCTTGATCACGTGACACGGAACGGCTACTGGTTTCGAATGAACGAAACCTAAACTTATGGCTGATGAGACTCTGTGACCAGGCGTGTGAAGTGTAGTAGGACGATGACTCGTAAACATAACCTCAAACTTCACTGTAAATATTCTTGACATAGCGGCAACCAGAAGCCCAGCGACTTATGTGGCGCTTTTAATCTGAACCTGTACTTATGGAAACTGTATCGCGAAACTAATAAGTGAATTCTATAATTATTAACATTCTTGTTAACTTGACCATACGCCTGTACATCTGAAGAAAGGAAATGCCATGTACCCCCCCTCCCCAGATTCCGAAAATCTCGACAAATGCTTTCGTTGTATACGATTTGAAGCACAACGAATAATATATGCTAACATATGCTTACGTTCCAGTTACTGAGACTAGAATATCAAAGAAACGCAGACGTAAAAGAAAAATAAAATACTCCAAATATCCTCTGTAGAAGTGAGTCATACCGTAAGAGTTGGTTGCCACACACAAGTTGTGTTCGACATAAAACTAACTAATTCTATGTAGCTGAGCCCTTCCTGAGAAGCCACCAGTTGTGAGGCTTTCGAAATGAAGCTTCATTCATTTATTTTAAAATTCCATGAATCCTCTCTGGTCACAATGTGCCTAGGATGTAGAACATGTCAGATTACTGTATGTACTATAATAACTAATGTAGGTAAATAGTTACCATTGTCACAATCATGTTGTAAAAACTAAATCATAATATATACAATTCGATAGCAGTCTGAAATATACAGTTCATAAAATTGAAAAATTAGTAAGTAATAAAACTTCCATAGGTACAAACGTAAAGTACTATTATTAATACCTTGTATTTGGTATTAGTTGTTAAAAATAATTCTTATACAGGATGGAAATTAAATTAACCATTTAAATAGCAGATGGACTATACATCCTTGTCTTCAGTATACTGATAATATTCATTCATTGAGTAAAAAGAATGTTGACATAAGAACCTCCTCAGTGTAGATTTAAAACTTTTAACATTATTGACTAAGGTCTTTATTGACTGAGGGAGGTGATTGTACACTTTGATGCCTGTTATGTATGTTCCATTATTAAATTTTGCTGTTTTCACAGCAGGAACATGAAAGTAATCATGGGTTCGAGTTACATATTCGTGAAGCTCATTATTGGAATTGAATATATGTTTGTTATTTATTATGAAGAGAAGTAATGAATATATATATATATATAGCGAATATAATGTCATTATTTCCAATTGCTTAAAGATATTCCTACAAGAATCCCTAGGTTTAGTGTTTTTTATGATTCTAATGATTTTCTCTTGTAAGACAAACACTTTCTTGGCATGAGAGGAGTTACCCCAGAAAATTATGCCATAACTCATGATAGAGTGAACATAGGCAAAGTAGATTAGCCTTAGTGTTGGAAAGGTTACTATATTTAATGTTGCGCAGCGCATAACATGTAGAAGTTAGTCTATTGATCATCAGATTTATATGCTGTTGCCGAGATAAAACATCATGAATAGTTAAACCAAGGAACTTAGTTACTGTTGCACTTGGAATACTTTTCTGTTCACCAGAACGGTCGCTGAAGTACAGGCCACTGGACCGAAGGATCGTGGATGCCCGAAGAACAGATGAAGGCCAGCTACTCTTAACACGATATACGAATTCGTTCCGATAACAGTTAACTTACAGATATGTCCGTCTAGAGCAGGAACAAACAGTTCGGCGTGTTTCATTTCGTCAGCACGGCAGTTGATTCAAACCGAGAGGCAGTGAATGAGGTCTCTCTCTTATCAACATCCAAAACCGTAGCCCTTCTTACTTCCTTCTCGGTGGCCTTCAAAGTGTTCCCTCATCTGTGAGAATTTAATAGAGACCGCTAGCAGTCAGAAACGTCTATAAAATCACCCTACCCCAAACTCTCAATTCAAGAGGGTCACAACCCCAATACAAGCACCTCGTAAAGGTCAGGCCTATTCCACCCCTGTATGAAATTCCATTCCTTTATGCATCTATAAAAATATTGCACAAGTTCCTCATATTGGCGTATTTCATGCGTCCCTCGCTTTTGGAATGTAGTTTCTTTATTCTGTATCTTTCGTTGGTGACGGTTATCTTTATGGCCGGTGCTGTACACCCTGTTTTCGGAAATGTAACGGTGACAGTCGCCCGAAATCATTACGTTCTCTTCAGTTCCCAGTGAAAGTGCTGAATGAATTTGAATGGTAAACATCCAGAGGTGCGATGTGCAGTGCGCTCCTATTTCTGAATCTTCTCCACGTGCCGCCACACCAAAATATGATTCAACCTTTCACTGCACGTCTCACGGTGTTATTGTATACGTGCGCGCTTGTATGCATTTATGTATGGACATATGTGTATATATGAATTGTTCTCGATACTTTGTTATGATTTTCAATTTGAAACCATTCGTGCCTCACAGAATTGTTGCCTCAAATTTAGCTGTGGCGGGGCACGTGCACAGTTCTCAGGGCCGAAAGTGTTTATTCCGGGAGAGTACTACGGTACGAGGTAAGGATAATTTTGTATGGAAACGTAGGCATTTGAAGAAAAAGAGCGCAAACTTGTTCTAGGTAATGAAATGCTTGTACTTGTAGAAGTGATGACTTTCTTTAAATTAGGATGTAGTAGACTATAGATCACAATGGCCTCGCGGTATGAGGCATGAAATGTCTTCGAACGCTGGGATCGTGAGTTCGAATCTCACATAAGGCATGGATGTTTGTCTGTGTATATTCTGTGTTTGTGTTGTTCTGTATAGGTAGCGGCCTTGCAAAGGTCTGATCCCCCGTCCAAGGAGTCCTACAGACTGTTAAGATTAAGAAACTGAACTGAAAGCTTTTCACGGATGCCCTATGCTCCAAGTGGGAGCAACAGGAATAAAGATAGATAGATAGATAGATAGATAGATAGATAGATAGATAGATAGATAGATAGATAGATAGATAGATAGATGGTTTGTCGCCTACTCCGTATATTCAAGTGCTGCTTCATTTCGTATGATAAATTAATGTATGCCTACTTCATACATTATTGTTGTATACTCTCTCCGTGGCTTTAGTCCGCAAGCGAACTATACCGACCGAGCGGCCGCCGCTTGTCGGCGAAGTTAGTGACAAATTTAGCTCATAGAGGGTGTCGCGTGTCAGCGCAACGAATCACCACGGCCGTTAATTTCGGTTTTCTAGACCGGAACCGCTACTTTTTCATTGTTGTATACTATTCCATTATCTTCGGTATTAGAGAAGGTTATTCCTTTCACAGGGGCCTCGCGGTCTAAGGCATGAACCGTCTTCGCCCGCTTGAACACTGGGATCGTGGGTTCGAATCCCACTCGAGGCAGGGATGTCTGTGTGCGTTTATTCTGTGTTTGTGTTGTCCTCTGTGTAGGTAGTGGTCTTGCGACTGGCTGATCCCCCGTCGGAGTCCTGCCAACTGTTTACAGATTAAGAAACTAAGAAAGCAGCCAAGGTCCACAAGGGCTGTAGAGCCGTAGATAGATAAGTAGGTAGGTCATAGACTGTACGATGTTAATATAAAATAAAATATTCGTGGATTTTAAGAATGTAACTAAATGTTACAAATTCAAAAGCAGACATTAACATACTGTAGAGTAACACGAGTAATGGTACCCGTGCTTCTGCACGAACTACTGTGTTGGACGCGCGGAAACTTTTGTCCTCAAAGCGGTCTCAGGATACAGAGCGACGGATTGTACACATGCAGAGATAAGTAGGAGAAAGGAACTGGGAAGGAGTAGAGAACGAGAAGCGGTGGCTAGAACATTCGGAAAGAATGCCCGGAAGCCCGAATTCTGGAGTTGTTGTATGCATATAAATCCAAGGGTGGGGTATGCCACCGAATGTCTCACTCCGGGTTCAAAATTTGGGTCCGGTGAGTCGGCATTTTGTTGTCTTTCTCAGTACCTTCAGGCGAACGTCTAATATTACTTAAATTAGGCTATTACTGTTTCTGCCACTGAACTATCCCGGGTAGAAACATAACGATATACATTCACAAGTATATGAGAACTCTGAGTCAGCAACTGTTTGACAGATAAAGCAAAAATGTAGTCCGAACAGATGAAAGGTTCCCACTGCCAGTATCGTGCTTAATGAGCTGCTGTAACTGTACTGAAATGCCTTATTTGTATAGCTTAGTTGTCATAGCGACAAACTACGGACTGGAAGGTCGGGGCTCTATTCCCGGCAGGGGCAGATTTTTCTCAGACCGTGTCTTGCGGTAACCCAGCCTCATAAACCAGTGGGTACCTGGGGCTCTTTCCACGAGGGTAAAGCAGCTGGGGTGTGAAGCTGTGAAGCTGACCGCTCACCACCATCTAGTGTCGAGGCCGAGAATGGTGGAACTGTACCTTCACTTCTTACGTCTTGGTGGTGGTGGTGGCGGCGGCGGCGACATGGTGGTTAATTAATTAAGCACAGGGACAACTGTACCTTTACCTTGATATATGCTTTTCTTTCACTGGCTCTACAGCCCCCTTGGGCCCTAGCCTCTGAATTTTCAGTTTCATGACAATTTTACAGACGGTAAGTCTCCGTGGATGAATGATCAGCCCGTCGCAAGGCCTCTTAATTAAACACATGACAACACAAACACAGAATAAACACATACCAAAATCCATGCCTTGTGTGGGATTCGAACCCACGATGCCGCCTTCCGATCGAGCGAAGACAGTACATGCCTCAGACCGCTCAGTTACCTTGACCGGCGTATGCGTTTTAGTATGACATATTAAATGTAACAGGGGACACACACACATACTTCCACCCTCACAGTAAGCACGAATACTGATCATTGCTTGCTGACATGTAACACTTCTGTTCTAGCCAACTTATGGACAACCAGATACATACCATTGAGCGGGGAGCGTTCCAGGATCTGATGGTTCTCGAGAGACTGTAAGTACATGTTTTTCTTTTCAGCTAGTCCTTTCTGTATTGAAACTTCTGTGGAAATGCCTTATTTAATTTTATAATTTCATGATGGCTTTTAAAAGACTGGATTCAATTTGCTCAAGACTTGACCCTCTGTCGGGCCCTTGTGAATAAAGCATCTTTGGGTTTCATAAGAAGTTCGGAATTCATTTACCTTCTCGCCGGCTATCAGCTTCTGGGAAAGGACAGTGCTACACTGGCTGAACTAGCTACTCATATATATTGCTGTGTGAGTTTATTAGACAGAAACATGAAGTCAGGAAAGAAGAATAATCATAATAAAGTCTCTGTGATGTAATTATAATATTTTCATCATCTTTATTATAATGTTGGGAATCATAATGATGTGAATATATTACACGAAAACCTAAGCACCTACATCACACACACGCACACATACAAACACATTGTCTTGCAGTGAAGACTTCAGTCCAGACTTAGATCATCATAACTGGTAGTAGTTAAGAACAGAACCAAACGATGACACCAGACACTGTATGTTCTATCGTTACACAGTATACGCTGGTTCTGAAGGTTTTGAATTCCAAGTAGGCCAATGGTCTTCAGTCTGGAGTACGCGCAGACATCTTACGGGGTACCTAAAATTAAAATTCGTCCCCGAATTGAGGCACTGCTATGCCAGAAACAAGCTCAGTCATCCCATTAACAGGTCAGAACCACATTAACAATTGATAAAATATTTAATTACATAATTTTGCTTTGGTAAAATGCGTTTGTTACTTTATTAATTTTTATATGATAGGCAATAATATGCATGCTATTTAATAGCTTGATTCTCCTTTCTCTCATTTGAAACCTGTTATTTAATACACTGTTTTGTATGTAATTTAATTTATTTTAGATGAAGGTTATAGAGTGTGTATAGCTTGAATTATACACAAACAACTTTTGGGGCACAAAGTTGAAGAGAAATTATATATGGGGGTACGCGAACAAAAAAGTTGAATACCACTGGCCTAGACGATGATAGAATTGATAGTAGCTTCGAATGGGAACGGAAGGTGGCAGCACTATCCGGCACTGAAAAGTATGTTCGAGTCTGTGTTGGAATGAGTTTAGTATCCTAGTATGCATTTAGGCCACAAAACACTTATATCTGATAGTGAAGTGTTTTTTTAAGATAAAATTTTATTGAAGAAGTTCATTTTACAGGAAAAGAATTTTCCATCTTAACAGGATTTGTTTTTTCTTTCCCTCTGAAAATTGAATGATTTTTAGAAGCTCGCTTGAAGTAAAGTGTGCCCTGCTGTGACGGAAATGCGCGGTTGAACCATGAAGAATTAACGTTCAGAGATGTGGACTGAAGACATACAACGTGCAAGAGAACTGCGCCATGGAGAGGCCAAATTTGAATATTTGGAAACATAACATGCAGTTGAATTGCAGTACTGAACCTTAAGATGCACGGAGCTGAAATATTTAGAAATGGAGCACAAAGCGAAGTCAAAGACTAAACTGGTATATGATGTATATACTCAAGAAATACGTGCTGCTTTTCACTTAAATTATTGTTTCTCCATATTTCCCAAGACGACAACTCTCATAATCATGGGCTACGCTAAATACTGTGAAGCAGATATTATCTGTTGGTTTGTCTTATTATTTAATTTGGTATCTAGCTTTTGAAGAAGAATTAGAGATGGAGCTGTGCAAATAAAATGCGCAGGTGATTATTTTAATCTATCAGGGACCACGAAGGAGTATTTTACTTCGAACTTCTTTAGTTATAGTCTTATTTGGAATTCGTAAGTTCCACTGGGCAAGTTTCTGCCATTATGTCAAAGCCAGTTCGTTCGTTGGTTGCCATAGCAGTCACGCTATGCGTTTGAGGAACTCCGTACTTTAAAGTAATACTACGTCAGGGTTATATTGTGGGGGAAGGAAATATTCACTCCATCGCTTTTAATCCCTTGTGGAATACCAAAAGGGCGGGGGGAAAGTAATATTGATCCACCCCTCCTACACTTGCAAGGTTAATCGTCCGGAAATTGAACTCGGGGAATATAGGATTGTGAGTCTCTCCACATGTGCACGGGACGGACGGACGGTGACTGAATCCGGGATGAAGTATCGCGAGAGAGCTTCTCATAACGCATGCTTCGGCGACAGGTTGCATTCGGTCGTGCCACCACGCTTCTGGGTTTGGCCTATGAACGGAAACTCCTCTGCATGGGACTTTCATCGGGGACGTGCCCAAAGGAGGCTTCGAGTTCAACCCAGCCCTACAGACGTGTCTGCAACTGAACGCGAAAAATACTTTGATGGCAGAGTGTAGTTACGGAAGATGTAGTGATGAAAGAAACGCGACACCAGCATGGCTGATTTGTGAATCAAATCATGTAATTTCTGAATAGAAGTCAGCCTTATTAGCTCTTGAGCTAATCTACTCTATGTATGAATTTTTAAAAAATGACAAAGGTAAACGGGAGACTAATGATATGGTGAATATGATTTCTGAACGGACTGTATCTACGGTTGTTGTGACGACAACAACAACATCAACAATAACAACAATAATAATAATTCAATTCAATTCGTGTTTATTTGCGTGCAAACTTAACAGCACAGAGGCCAGTTACAAAGTTCGCACGAGTACATAGAAATACAGATATAACTAAAATACAACATACAAATTAGACAGTCTGTGTAATGGCAATAAATTAATAATAATACCAAGAAAAATTAAAGTTAGCATTAACAGTGAGAAAAATAAAATAATTACATTTCGAATGGTTATTCTATTGAAGAAAGCAGTCTTCTGGGATTTGGCACCGTGTATATGTGGTGTTAACCGACGTTTCGGAGGAACGTATCGCCTCCATCTTCAGGGTAGAAGAAAAAATATATAAGAAATCTGCAAGCAAAGAGACCGTGAGAACCGGTAAAAGCATGTGGCGAGAAAGAACAATACACATACATACACACACAGAAGTTAATAATAATAACCCAAATAATTCTTACTTATTTATGTTGCAGCTCAACATCCTAAAAATAATAATATTTATAATGAATTGCGTTTATTTGGGATGTTATATTCTTTGTTAGTTATTATTGAAATTAGTGAAGATGTGTGACGTCGTGTAGTTCGGTAGACAACTCTAAAGATGGAGGCTGCACATCCATCCGAAACGTTAGCACCTACATGTATATATGCCAATCTTTACGATGTTACGTCCCAGAATACAGTAATCTTCATGGTTACATCCGTGAGAATTTCAGATCTCATAATAAAATTAATGTTCATTTTCAAGTGTATGAAACTTGATTTCCTAGTTTGGATTTACTTGCCAGGTGTACGTCACACAGAAAACGCGTTCTATTAGAATTCAGATAGTGTTATTTGTACGCGGCATCTGCGTTGGTCCTTCTTTGGGAAGATCCATCCTGGAGCGAGCTGGATTCGATTAATCGAGACGACACTGTAGTCAGACGATTCTGATCCTGCTGGATAAGAATTGGCGGTTGGAACGTGTATGATCTTACCCTGCAACAAGAAGGGTGGGTCGTCATCTGCTAGGCAACGGTTTAACGGTTGGGGTCAGATAAGGTTTTATTAGCAAGGAGATCCTGAGAGCGTCAGAACTTTCCTGATCGTACCGTGGGCCGAGCGAAGCTTCCTCCAGTGCCTACTCTTGAGAGCTGGAGTTGATACTATGCCCAAATTCCCCATGGAGAGCAGTCCCATTCATTATAGTGTGTTGGCCGTTTTTTATTCACGCAAACCTCCGTTCACCACAGCTAGCGACACTGCGTGCGAACAATGTTCGCCACAATATTCAAATGGGAACTTCAAGATGTTTCATTCTTCTTTTTGTCATATGACAGAGGACAATTAATTTAGGTCATTATTTCGTTATATTGGTTCTCGAACTCGTAATATCAATTTGTCAGCGCAGTTATCTCTTATTAGTTTTGACAAAGCATATTCTGGATGAAGACTCGCCCCTGGCTGATGCTTCGAGTTCTCTTGTTTTTAAAGCGATAGATTTTCATGTTATTAATATTTAATTCCTTTCCTAAATTACCTCAAAATTTATTCAGCGTCCCTGATCAACTGTGAATCAGAAGGTACTTGTGTATCTAGTATTATATCTTAATATATTTTTGCGTGTATACCCATTACTAGGCAAACATGTGCCCGCGGTAAGCACGCCCCAACAGTAGAGAGGATGTTTTCTATGTGGTCCGCACCCTTGCTATATAATTGTGCGCTAAACACGCCTAAAACAATACGAGACAGTAGAAGACGGGTGTCCTCCGCGAGGTCCATGCAAAATGGTTATAAAGAAGAATTCAGTTGAGCAGCATATAGTGAAGAGTGGAGTTTCGGGACGCCAGCATATAGGGGTAGGAGCTTGGAATTGAAGTGAGTCGAGTCTTCGGAATTCGCAGCTGCAGAATATTGGCAAGATAGGAATTAGGATGCGAGAAGAAGACTGCATGTTTGATTTGAAGTTACAGTGAGACTGGTATAACTACTGTATGGAAATCCGTTGCCAGGATACGACTAGTGAAGACTGAGAACCCTAGAGCTTGTGTAACGGTGAACGTTAAATTGTGTAGATCAGCAATTGCGCTGTATTGCCTGTAGTCCCGAGTTGTGTCCATACGGTGTCAGTAAATCCAAATATCCAATCCAAAACTCTTCCTGTAACTCACGCGCAATCCCCTACACGTGACAGTATATTAAAATGCTTTATTTGTGAAGTTGATGTGTTTTATATTACGAAGAGTCCCTTCTGTAAATGTTGTACTAATGATGTGCAGTTCCTTCCTCAGTTTAACCTCTCAGAATTTTGATGGGAGTTCGTTTGCTTCTCGTGAGATACGGCAGTGACTTCATCAGCGTCTATATTAGAGGTATTTGAGTTCTGTAGTCATTTCAATTTTTTCTCAAAATATCATATTCTTGTTCTTTTGTTACCGGAGTTATTGTTCGTTTG